CTGAAAAAAAAATACTTTAAAAAAATTTACTTCGCTCAAAGATAAGATAATCAGTTTAAGAAAGAAAACCAAATTACTTACTGACGAGCAATTACAAGCTAAGTTTGAAGTTTATCGGAAAAAAATTAAAAGTAGTCCAAAGAAGAGCCGTGAAAAGGCACTGGATGAATATTTAGTTCCAGTTTTTGCTTTGGTGCGGGAGGTTATTTCGCGGAAAACTGGACTGTTGCTTTTTCCTACTCAAATATTTGGAGGAATAGCCTTGCACTTTGGTAATATCGCCCAAATGAATACCGGAGAAGGAAAAACTCTGACTGCCTTTTTACCAATTTGTCTTAATGCTCTATTAGGAAGAACTGTTTTTGTTATTACTGTTAATGAATATTTAGCCCAACGGGATTGAAATCTAGCCAAACCAATACTGGATTTCTATGGAATTAGTTCGGGAGTTAATTTAACCAATATTTCGACTGAGGGGAAAAAGCAACTATACAATAAATGTACTGTTGTATATACTACTGGTAGTGAGTTAGGATTTGACTATTTGCGGAACAATTTAATAACTAGTATTGAGGAAAAAAAAAAGCATGATTATTATTATGCGATTGCCGATGAAATTGATTCTCTTTTTATTGATGAGTGTACTAATCCGCTCATTATTTCCCAGCGAGCTCAGGGCAAAGATGTTATTAGCCCAGCCGAGTATCAATTAGCCACCAAATTGGTTAACTCTTTGAGAGAAAAAAAGGACTACAAGGTCGACAAAAAAGAAAATGATGCTTGATTAACCAAAGAAGGGATTAAAAAAAGTGAAAAATTTTGACAAGTAGATAATCTTTTTGCTTTCAAAAACCATCGCTATAATTTTTTACTCCACAATGCCTTAAAAGCTAAGCATTTTTACCATAAAGATATTGAATATATTGTTGACCAGAAAGAGCAAAAATTAGTACTGATTGATGCTTTGACTGGTCGTTTAGTTGCGAATCGAGTGTATAGCTCCGGTATCCACCAAGCGATTGAAAGCAAAGAAAACTTACCAGTTAGTACCAAAAGTAAGACAATTGCGACAATTACTTACCAAAACTTTTTCCGACTTTTTGATAAACTATCAGGAATGACCGGAACTGCTATGAGTGAGGCCGATGAGTTTCGGCAAGTATACGGCATGGAAGTAATTGCTATTCCGCCTTATCGGAAATTAATTCGCAAAGACCGCAACGATTTAATTTTCTGAGATAAGGAGGGAAAATACAAGGCTATTATTAAGTTAATTAAAAAAAATAGTCAAACTAAAAAGAGACCAATTTTGATTGGTTCGCCTAGTGTCGAAATTTCCGAATACTTGTCAACTTTATTAACCAAAGAAGGTATCTTTCATTATAAATTAAATGCGGTTAATCACCAACAGGAAGCGGAAATAGTGGCTCAAGCCGGACAATTGGGCGTTATTACTATTTCAACTAATATGGCCGGGCGAGGAACTGACATTGTTTTAAGCGAAGAGAGTAAAAAAGCCGGTGGTTTGTTGGTAATTGGGGTAGAAAGAAATACCAGTCGCCGAATTGATAATCAATTACGAGGTCGCTCCGGAAGGCAAGGTGACCCCGGAGAAAGTCGTTTCTATGTCTCCTTAGAAGATGAATTAGTAAAAAATTTTTCTATTAAAGAACAGGTGGAAAGGATGTTTAGTCGTAAGCAGTTAAAAGAACTTTTTCATCGTCCATTAAGCGGAAAAATATTTAATTATCTTATCTCAGAACCCCAAGAAACTTTGCGGAATGTTCATGCTTCTAGTCGCCAATATCACCTTAACTATGACTTACTTATCAATCGCCAAAGACAACTTATTTACAATTACCGTAATAAATTATTAAGTGCTCTTGACTTAACAAAAATAATTAAAAATAAAAAGACCAAGAAAACAAAAGGAGAGATTGTGCCAATTGAGCAAGAATACTTAAAAGCTCGTCTAGTAAAAGGAATAGATAATTTTTGATCGGAATACTTGGAATCCTTAAATAAAATTCGTGCCTTGGTTAATGTTAAAGTTTATCTGCCTCAAGAACCCCAAGAAGCATTTTTTTGAGAAACTATTGATTTATTCCACAAAGGATTTCAACAATTAAATAAAAGATTGGGAGAAATTGCTTATTAATAAATGAAAAAATT